TTATTGATCATTTTGAATCTTGAAAGCAGTTGCTTGCTTAGGTTTAGGGTTTAAGGTTACAATTAAAAAAAAAAAATTGAAATGACCTTTAGCTTTATTTATAAAAATGCAAAGTTTCAATCCCTTCGTTTTGGCAAATATCTGAAAGTTATGTGTTTTGGTTTGAGAAATTTGGAAATAATTGTAGCATGTGAAAGTTTGGAAAGCTTAAAAGCCTCATTGGGAGAAATCAGAAATGTCTATTGCTTTGCTTTGTGGAAATCTGAAGTTTAAATGCTCTCGTTTCTTTTTAAAGAATCTGAAAGCTCTATGTTTTCATTTATATGAAGTTTGTCCTGAAAACCTGAAATTTGTATATAATTTTTTTGTGAAAATTCAAAAGTTCTGGTGTATATGTTTGTGAAAACTTGAAAATTCAAAAGTTTTGGTGTTGTAGAAAGGTGAAATGAAAATTTTAGGTATAGAAACAGATATTCATAATTATTATTCGACAGGACATGCTTCTTATTGCTGCCCCAGGAATTATTTATCTGTAGTTGATGTGTTGTATCTTTGGGAGCTATGCAAATAGTCATAAAACTTCAAAGTTTATGTGTTAGATATATAAATACATAAGATTGTGTTGCATATGAATCTTTTTTTTCAGTTTATGTGTTAGATATGTAAATACAAAAGTTTTTATTCATAAACAGATGGTTGTTATACTATTCTTTTAAACAATTTTACCAAACAGGGGTAGTATGGTCTTTTTTTCATAAACAGCTGCCCGACAGATGGTCTCACGCAGCTGCGCCAAACAGACTGCCAGCTTTCCCGCCGCTGCGTGCAGCTGCTTCCCCACAGCTGCTTCCTGGGGCAGCGCAGCTGCAGCTGCGCCAAACAGAGCCTAAGTGGGGAGAAAATCCGTAGTTTGAATGCAAGCAACATTGGGACGCCAGACGCGTTACTCCTTAAAGAAAATAAAAAAATAATAAAAAAAAAAAGTTTAGGGTGTATGGCGTCCAGAGCTTGCGTCCGAACTCCAAACTTAATATTTACCTTAAGTTGAACACTCTCGTGGAGGGCTATTGAAATGACTCGTTGTTTGCCGTGTTCGACTCATTAAGCAGCTCATGTTCTATTCGTTCGCTAAGATAACGAGTTGAACACGAATAATTTTTTTGTGCTCGATATATAAATGAGTCGAACACAAACTAAGATTTGTTCATTTATGTTTTACTCATTTGACTTGAAATAATTAAATTATATATTTATATATATGTGTGTGTGTGTATTTTTAAAAAATTTAGTTGGCTACAACGATACAAAGATTTATAATCAAGTAAAATTATTAATTAAAAAATATAATAAAAATATATTAAATTTTATTTAAATGATGTTTTAATAGAAATAATAAAATTTAAAACTTGCCCCAAACTTAAACATCCTACGACTGCATGATTAAGGTTGTCAAAAATACTCTACTTGTGAACAGTTCATATTCGGCTGGTTAAGCAATCGAGTTGAACAAGAACACTTTTTTTGTGCTCAAAATATAAATGAACTGAACACAAATAGTGATTTTGTTTAATGAGCCGAACACGAGCTGAGCTAGGGCTTGCCCGTTTGCTCGTGTTCGGCGAGGCTCATATCGTGTTTGGTTCGTTTACACCAACACGGTCATGCATTCATTCATTTTTAAAAATAGGAATTAATATGCTCTTTGAAAGTTTAGTAAGCCATGAAATTCTCGTATCCCCTGAAAATTTTCCCACTTTTATTAGAATGCTATGAGGTTCTATTATTTTTCCACATCTCATTTTTTTAAGCCTTCACAACTTCTATTTTACTAATACAATGATGAAAATAAAAAATTTTCTAAGGCGATCACATTTTTAGAAGCTTATCAAAATATCTCATTCACATATATTGAATATCCTCATCTAAGAAAAATATTTTTCATTTTTCATCCTTAAATATATTTTTCTTGAATTAAATTTTTTTTTATTTTTTTCTCTCTTTGTTTGGCTTATTAACGCATATATCTTTCACTTTCTTTAATATCTAATTTATTACAAAGATCATTATAAGTTAAATACATGTAACCTTATATTTTTTTCAAATCTCTGAAATTTTACTTTTAAACAAACTTTTATAATAAATTTTTTTTTTTTTTTTTAATTCGTATTCTATTACCAACTAATTTTATTTATAAGAACTCTTATTTTTTATTCTTCAAACATATCATTTATAACTCACTTAATAATACCCATTACTTTATCCCATATAAACCCTATTACTATATTATCTCCTTCATAAACATCTCATATAATAATAATAATAGCATGCTAATGACATCCATTCATTCTCTTTTTATTATTTTCTCCTTTCATTTCTTTTTAATTATATTTTATTGAGATATAAATGCCCAATGTTCTTAAATTTGTCAGAGGCATTCCTTACCAAAATTGTGAAATAATAGAGAATCAAAATTTAAAGATTCAATAAATACTATATCTGATGATATAATACATATTAAAATTAATTCATTATAATTTAAATAACTTGATTATATATATATATATATATATATATAATAAACGCATACAATTGCACTTTGAAGAACCAGAAAAGACCACTGAAACATAATGCAAGCAGACAATTGTTCCAAACAGGTTCCTGTGACTAAGATATAAAACAGATCTAAACTTAACACTTGATTCAAACTTGAGTCTGAATCCAATCGATCAATCTCAAGTAAGCAATAATTGACTACTTTTTGGTCCAATCAATCTTAATTAAGCGAAAGATTGACTCATTCCTTTTCATTCAAGCATGATTAGAGCAAAAATCAACTCAATATGATTAGATTTTTCTTCCCTCATGCATGCATATACATTTCAATTTAATTCTCAAGCTAGTCAGACTTCGTTTGAAGGAGCTTCAGGTTTCGGTGAAGTTTCTTTCAAAGTGAAGTTGGTAGAACAAAGAAGGCAACCTGCAATCTTAAACTGTTTAAATAGCCGTTCTTGTGAAAGAACTTTGGGAAATGATCGTTCGACAAACTAAAACAAACTTCACGCCGGAGTGCACTGCAACGCAAAGGAGGTTCACAGTATTCTCAACAAAGCCTCAATGGTAGGCAAACAAATTGTAAGCCAAGTTTAATTCGAGATAAATAATATATCAATTTTTATTTTCAAGTCGAATCAAGATTAATATGAAATCATAAGAGTGAGAAAGTGACAGCAAAATATAATATGACTGCCCATGCTCTATAGTTTCCTAAATAGTTCAACATGAAAATAAATAAAAAAAAATGAAATTGAATAAATAAAATTATGGAAGTAGTTCCTTTTCAAAATGGCGACGCCGGCGTGCATCATATTCTTCATATCCATCCATCTGCCACATAAATTTCACATTGCACATAAAAAAAGAAGGTATGGGGGTTAAGAATTTGCACAATTTCTTATAATAATTATAAAGGTGCAATTAGCTGATGTAGTTGGCCTTTCTCAGCCATCCGATTTACTTTTGACGGCCCAGATTGAATTCATCGAAATTAAAAGAATAAAGATGATTTACATACATAATACTTATTTCTTATGTATTTACATATCTAACAGGTTAACTTCCATTTTTATGCACATCCCACCTTACCTAAACATGGAAAGGTGTATTTTACATTTTAGAAGTTAAAATAGTAATACTTTTGATGTGATATCAAAGATTTGGGTGGCATAAATGTTAAAAAAAGTGGAGTTTAGGTGTTAGATATGTTAATATATAAGAACTGGTTGGTATGTACGGAAATGCCCCTTAAAAATTTTGAGAAATAATTTTTAGATTTAAACTCAGCAATTCATATTAAATTAAGAGGTTTCAATACCTGACGAAGATGACTGTCTGCTAGATCAACCTTAAGTAATTCCAGTTCTGTGCACCATTTCAATAAATGTGAAGGAAGCGAATTTAGGTCATTGTTCACCAGATGCAAAATCTATAAAAGAAAAAAAATGTCAACTTTAAAGCAGCGACAAGCTGAAGTACCAAATCATAAATAAAAAAAAGGATTAATGGAATTAAATGAATAAATTCAAGAAATAACAATGTATGTGTATACACCTGCTGATCCGATTATGCTCATTCATCCCACAAGGACAGCCTAGACCACCTGTGTGAGAGCAGTTATCGGAAGAAGCCACCATGACTAGTAAAGACATCAGGGAATCCTTCATTAAAGGCGCCGCCCAACAATTGAGACTCAATCTCTTTACCTATGCACTAGGGACAGGCGTCGTACCGACAACACTTGACACCAACGTCATAGTCTTTTTGTCGGAAAATATTTGCGCAAAGACGTTACAGTGGGGTTACAGAGGGGTATAACCCCGATATAACCCCCCTGTACCCCCTGTACCCTAACCCCCCTGTACCCCCTGAATAACCCCTGGACGTACGCAGCACTGCGTACGTCTTATGTATGCAAATATTTTCCCTTTTTGTAAATACATTAGAGGAAAGCATTGTATTGTACATAATGTACTACATCAATTATTTTATGATTTTTCTCCCTTATCTATAAGGGACTTCCGAGCTCCTCTCTCTCTCTCTCTCTTTCTCCCTCTAAAACCTTATAACTCAAAAAACCTCTGATAAGCCATACTCCTCCGACTGATCGGACATAACAACTCAATGCAATTCCTAAGGTTCCCTCTCAAGATTTTTGCATCTCTCCCTCTCTCTGACATCTTTTCTACGATACTAAATATTTCACTAGGTTCTATGTACTCTTGAACAGTATGAGACTCAATGTCCTAAAAAGGATTCAACATCCTGAAATGTGCGGTGAGCGTGGAGTTCAGACGCAAGCTCTGTAACATAGATCCCAATCACCTGAAGAACGCCCTAGAATGACGATGGACATCACTAGAGACTTCCTGATCCAACAAATGAGTTGAGCGAATCAATGAGGAAAGAAATATACAACATGAGAGACGTGTCACATACCCACTGAAGAACCAAAACGCATACTGGGTCGTCGAGGTAAGTGACTCAAACGCAATATCCACTACAAATAGTGAGAGTACCTCAGCAAGGAGTACCACAACAAGGAGCACCTTAGCAAAAAGCACCCCAACAAGAAGTAACAAGAAGTGCCGCGGCAAGGAGCACCAAGGCCAGGATGACCAACGCGAGACCTGCATGTTCATAACTTACCAAGAGTTAGATTGAGGAGGACTCCTGGCTTGATCTCGGAACAAGTGAGATTACCCAGAAACGATTTAGATCATTCTGAAGAGGAAGGGTTTATGACGGATTCCATTAAGTTGTTCGAAGAAAAGAAAAACTAATACTTGACTACCATGCTGAAGAAGTCAGTGAAGGATGGAGAATCAGAAAAAGTTTTTCTTCTGACTATTATGAAGAATATGATATGAGAGGAAGAAGAAGACAGACAATAACAGAAGGTCCCTTCTCAAGGGAAATCTTGAAAGTTGAGGAGTCAAGGAAGTTCAGGATCCCATCGCTGGAGACTTACAAAGGGAAATCTAACCACACAGACCACTTGGCATCCTTGGAATCAGCCGTCTGCCTAATCTAGATAAACGATGTACTGAATTGTCGTTTTTTTTCATGACGCTAAGGGAATCGACCTGTGTTGGTTCAATCATTTGTCTATAGGATCATCACATCTTTCTGCGTGTTTGAGCAAACGTTCATGGCCCAGTTCGCCAATGTACAGAATTCACCAAAAAGCTCACAAACGCTCCTGATGATATGTTAAGAGCCCACTGAAACCTTGAGGAGCTTCATCAATAGTTTTCAAAGAGAAATGCTAGATTTTCGAGACATGAAGCCTGTCGTTGCTCATGTGGATCTGACCTAAGGCCTATGCGAAGGACTGTCCTGATACATGCTCGGTTTGCAGAAGTCGAAAATGTTGGCAGAGCTCCTGCAATTTGCAAACAATCACATCTCAGCGGAGGAATGTAATTATCTCCATGGACCCTCTCGACCATCGGGTCGAGGGAAGGACCACTGTTCCAACTTCACGATGATCGTCGAGATCAAAAGACCCATTTCCGAAAGAGAAAGCCCTGGAACGCTCGTGAAGATCGCCCCTAGCGAGATCAAAGAAATACTAAAGCAAAGATGGTAGGAAGAAGCCACCATACCCCCCCCCCCCCCCCCCCCCCCCTCCTCCCTTCTCCCAGAGTTCTGATGGTTGAAGTAGTAGCTACCATCCAGAGTGAAGTGTATTTTAAAGAGCCTTTCCCTTGAAGGCCGGTGCACATGCCCATGATCCTAACCGTTACAGTGTAAATCATCGTGTACATGGGAATGATACCGAAGAATGTCAGCATCTTTGGAATCTCTTCAAAGAACTGATCAAAACGAGAAAATTGAAAGAGTTCATAGCCCCAGAAGCGCACACTCAACGACACGACAAAGCCCCTGCTGAAGGCAGCAACAATGAGCCCACACCCGCGAGAGTAGTCCTAGTCATATGAGTTGTGCCCACCTCTTTGGAGGAGATGGACCCGAATAGTCATGAAGGTCCAGTCTCAAAAGGATGAAGACAAGATAAATCTATTTAGCCACTCTGGCTAAATGCTCCACGCCAATCCACCCCCTAATCATCTTTTCAGATGACGATCTGCCTGCTAGTGGGAAACCATTCAACGAAGCTATCGTTGTTACTGCGATCATTAAGGACTACTAAATCGACAACATCCTGATAGACATCGGAAGCTCCGGGAACATCTTGTTCAAAGGAGTCTTCAAGAAGATCAGAATCACTGCCAACCGGTTAGCCCCTACTTCTGGAGCACTATACGGTTTCTCAGGAGAACAAAAGAAAGCTTACGGCCATTTGGGGAGAAGGAGAACAATAGGCCACAGGGATGCTGATTTCTGTGTGGTCGAAGCACCAAACTCTTATATATATATATATATATATATAACAAATAAAACAAACTACCAAATTGTTATAGCGTACTTGGTAAAATACAAACTTGACACTAAATTTTCTGAATAATTTGTACTCATGTTCTGTTTACAAATAAAAGAAAAATTTACATACATACCACTTATTCTTATGTAGTTACACACCTACACTTCAATTTTTACATATAGGCCACCTTTCCTAAGCATGAAAAGGCATATTCCTCTTTTTTAAAGTAAAATCGTGGTATTTTTTATGTGATATGAAAGAATTGAGTCTTATAAATCTAAAAAGTAAATTTCAGATATTAGACATGTAAATACAAAGGAATTGAGTGGTATATATATAAATACCCCTACAGAAAATATGCTAGCTGTAGCTGCAAAAAGAAACAGACCTTCAGACTTTTTAAATTTGCAAATGTTTCTGGTAATTCGGACAAACAATTATTTGATAAATCTATCTGCATAATTAGAGAAAAAACATGTTAGCTGTACATGATAATTGCTTGCTTATATTAATTGCAACTCATGGAAGGAAATAAAAAGGGATGCAAGAAGAACCTCAGCAAGCGAGGAACAATTTCCAATTGTTGCAGGCACCGAGCTAATCCTGCCAGTCAACAATAAAAGTCAACTAAAGAAAATGTATTCTATCTAAAAAGCAAGCTTATCCGCCATGTTGAAATAATAAGACGAAGATTTACATAGATGCCACTAAATTTCTAAATATTCACATATCTAACGCCAAAATTATAATTTTTACATACATACCACCATACCTATGCATGAAAAGTGTATTTCAGCTTTTAAAAGTTGAAATGGTAGAATTTTTGATGTGATGTGAAATAATTGAGTGGTATAGCTAAAAAATAAATAAAAGGGGCATTTGCATAATAGCACACCATTTTTGCATATTTACACATCTCACACCTAAACTTCAATATTTGCACACAGAGATCTTTAATATCGCATCAAAAATAGCACTACTATCACTTTTTAAAAGTGAAATATAACTTTTCATGCAAAAGTTTAAAGCACCAAAGTGCTATATATGTAAATATGAAACTGTAGGTGTGAGATATGTAAATACACAAGATCGTGTACTGTGCTAAGCATGTAAATTTTTCAAAATAAAATTTAGGTTTTAGATATTTAAATACACAATAATTGTGCGGTATGCATGACAAAGCTCCTAATTGCATTCCTTCTACAAGTTTCATGGCATTAAAATTATATAAAATATCAGTAAGGACATCAATTAGAGCAGGTTTAATTTTCAAGTTGTAAGATATGTGGTAAATATTTCCGAGAGACGAGAAATAAAAAAGAAAAAAAACCAAATTTACTCGATGAGGACAAAATGTATAGTTATTATAAAGTATACTAGCTGTATATTAAAAACTACCTATTGAAGTTTGCATTAAGAACTCGAAGCTGATTCAGACATCCCAGTTCATCTGGTAAGCATGTTAACTTGTTATTTGCAATATAGAGAATAGTAAGAGAGGTCAGGCTACCCACAGCAGGTGGCAAAGTAGCTATTCTGTTTAATAAAATGAAAGGGGTATTAGTTAAAACTAAATAAAATTAACGAAATTGGTGAAAATCACAAAAAATATAAGCAACTAAAATCATAAATTGAAAAACCTTAATTTATAAGAGATACAAGTTTTCTGTTACGCCTGTACCTAGCCTAAGTGCAATTTTATCCTTTAATTAGCTTGAGAGCACTTTATAATCTTTTGTAATTTATTATTGTTTAGTAAAAATAGACCCTAATAGGCCATAGATATGCATGAGACAATTGTCTGTGAGTCCGAGGGTTAGAATTTGGGAGAGATTTCATACCCCTTGAATTATAGGAATTGGGAGAGATCGCCTACCTCTCGAATTTTGGGTGCTTATCTTTGTCCTCATGTTAAACGTTTAATGTTCTTACAATAATGTATTTGCCCTAATTTCTTTGGGAAAATATGTCTATATTATTATCAATTGGTATCAAAGCTTCCGATCCCTAAGGATGAATCACAACCTAAAAGTGTTCCGATCGCATAGGGATTGTGGACTTGCAGCCTCCCTCGAGTCGCTAAATGGTCAGAAGCCAATGGGATCATATAGATCTAGCTAGGAAGTCGTCGATTACTCGATTGCTAGCTGGGAATCATTGACCGTGATACAATTGTGGTAAGTGTTGCATGACTTTGTGACTCGATTTGCAGAAGACAAAGATACAAAACTTTCGTCTTTGGCGGCATACAAAGACTCAAAAGTTCCATCTTTCTCTTGTTCCTGCTCTGTCCTCGTGATACAATCTCAATTAGAGCTAGCTAAGATGGCCACTCGAGGATTGTGGCGTACAAAGACCCTAAAACTTTATCTTTCTCCTCCTTCCGCTCTGTCTTCGCGATACAACAACAGAATCATAATGTCCAGTCACGATACATTCGTGATCCAAGATCCCAAAAGTCAGCAACCGGATCGAGTGTACCTTAGTGATGGAACCTCTTCCAATTTTGGAAGCTGCTAACAAAATTGCGTCATTCCTGTCGGGATTCAAGATAGTTACAAAGCCAAACCATAGGATCACGAGTTTCGAAACCGTGAAAGGAGCGATGATAGTAAAGAAAATAGATACTTTGGGGTGAAATTATAGAAAGAAATTAGCCACAACATATCAAAAATAGGGGAAAGTTTCTCAATAATGGAGGAGCATTTCACATCCATGGAGGAGAGGTTTGAAAGAAGATTCATGGCCCCGGAAGAAATGATAAAGAAGATCATGGGTTTTCATACAAAACAACTTCCGTCAGCCACAAAATCAAGTGACGGCGTCTAGAATGGACACAAACAACAACAACAAAAAAGATTCACAAGACATCATGGTTGTGTCTCTATTTTAGATAGATCGAGAGCTGTGGTATCGAGCAAAAAAGATCATAAGTGATCTCGAGTAACAACACTTGGAAGAAATAGAGTGACATTCAGACGACTTAAACAAACGGAAGTAAAAAGGATTGAAGTTGACAGAGTGGAAGAGACACATGGTACAGAGTTTACAAATATTTTTATGATCAATGAGCTATTTAACAGTAAAGGAGTTAGCACCATCCTAACCTTATTCTAAGTCGTTCAATCGAATACCGCCATTGTATGCGTGTTCAGGTGGGGAAAAAGATGGATATAAATAGTTAAGGGATTAAGGAGTTTAATTAAGGGTTAATTAAGTTAATTAAATTTATAGCTTCAAAATTTATATCTTCTTTTGTTTTAAATCCATGTATAGTACTATATATCGAATTGATTGATTTATTGCTTAGAATTTTATAAAATTGATTCGGTTGAATTTTGGGGAATTCAAAATTTAAAGTAAATTTTAAAATTGCCAACTTTTACTTGATTTTTGAAATTTTTGGTGTTACACCAAGAGAGTTAGTCTTCATGTCAAAAGCTTGAATTATACATAAGACTCGTACTTTTTGTTAAATAATTTCAATCTAAAAGAGCGTCAAATTGTCGTCATTGTTTTCTGGAAATCAAGGGTTCAATTAAACAAAAAGATTTCTGTAAAAACCCATGGACACAAACAGAAAGAACGAGAAGTTCCTCATTGAGATAGAGGAAAACGAAAGCGTTTCTTAAAAAGTGTGGAGTAAGTTCACACAATTCTAAGGGCACACTTCCACATGATAGTCGCACCTTCCAAAAGCCATGGACTGATACAAGTCGTTTCTTTGCGAAGATAATGCTCTTACATTTCTTTTATGCCAGTTTGTCCGACAAATTAGATCGGATAATAAGCATGGAGAAAACATTGAAGCTGATTTGGTAGAGAGAGAGACTAACAATGCATGAAAAAAACTATAAATAATCTGCACAAGCCAAAATTAGTTATCAGGACTCAAAAACTACAAAGGAGTTTCAAATCTAGTTGCATTTCATAATATTTTGACTGATTTACTTGTAAGATCCAAAGAAAACAAACTTAAAACCATTCCACCAATTTTTAAGTCTTGAAAAAACATTAAAATATCAAAAAACAGACTTACCTGTTACTGTTAAAAGATAATATTGTTAAAGACTTCAACTGTGCAAGGCCATCCCAGCTAATCTTCTCATCAGATAAATCATTTGTATTCAGGTACAGTTTCTACACAATTTAGACATAAAATACCCCAAATTTAGCTAATACTTCAAAATGAATCTCATCTTCAAAGCTGAATTCCAACGAGTCAAAAAAAAAAAAAAAAAAAAAAAAAAAAAAACTTAAAACATGTATCATAAGAAGCATACATTCAACAACTTCAAACTACCAATTTTCTCTGGCAATTCTTGAATGTAATTGTTACTGATATCCAATATTCTAACATACGATGCACAATCCCAGACTTCATCAGGAATATCCTGCAAGTTTAACATAAAAGAAGCGCTTTTAAGTGCTAACCAGCGATTCAGCATAAAAAGAGGATATTTTATAAGTCATAAAAAATGATACAGATACAATAAATTAGTTTTGCTAACCACCAATTAGAATCATAGTTGAGAGGCTAAAAGCAGATAAATTATTGTACATACCACACAATTCTTATATATTTACATATTGAACACCTTAAACTCTCCTATTTGCATTCAAAACACGCAAACCATCAACTTCGCATAAGAAAAAAAAAACCATTTTTATTAACTTAATAAAAGTGAAATACACATTTTCATTCATACGATTATAACACGAAAGTTTTATAAATATAAATATCAAGCATTAGGTGTTATAAATGTAAACAAATAAGAATTGGTTTGAAAGCATGTAAATTTCCTAAATTATTTTGTTCTGACTTCTGATATTGATGTCCATGCTCAAGTTAAAATACAAAATGGATTTATATCCATACACTTGCTGCATAAAATGCCACTAAAGCTAACTCATTAAAGGATAAATGATGAATCATACTAACTTTACAGTTATGGAGGAAACTGCGCAACTATACCTCTAAAGGGAAGTTTGATTCACTCATACATTGGATGTTATCTTATGTCAAAACAATCATCCCTAGTTTGGTTTATTGAAATCTTAAGCTTTCAACAATTTAGACATCAGTTTAACCAAGACGACTGCTATAAAATATAAACAAATTCATCCTGATCGCTACAAGATTTTAGGAAAGCAAAAAAGAAGTTTCATGTGATTAATGTAAATATGGCATTACAAATTTTATAGCAAAATGTCACTAAGCCAAATGTAGATGTCAGTCTAACCAAGGCAACTCTCATATAATGCAGCCAATTCACCTGCATCAGAAAAAACTTTAAGAAAAGAGACACTATTGGAATTGGTGTCGATATTTTCAGCTATTGAGCTTAGCACTAATGCAAAAGTTTTGAGTAAAAAGTATTCAGGGCCTACATAAGCAAGGAAAAAAAATGAAAAACAAAATACCAAATATAAAAAATAAGGTAATAAGTCCAAAAAAAGCTATGATTTTCAAAGAAGGTAAGTTGGTATGGATCATATTGAAGGAGTGATTTCCTACTGATTCATTTAGAAGCTCAAGGTTAGAGCTAATAGCACATTTAGGATTGTTAAAAAAAAGTAATGGCAATGCCTACAAGATTGATCAACTAGGAAATTAACATTTCGGCTGCTTTTAATATCACTGACTAGTCATTGTACAACAAGGAATGCTTCCAAAGAAGAAGAAAAAGTCTCTCTTATCCGAGAAAAGTGACGTAGAGTAGGCTATTTCACGGAACTCCCACGTATGTGGGAACCATGGTTGGATTCCATTCAAAAAAGTCATGTTGTGGGACTTTCCTGCTTCGTTGCTGCTGTCAAGCCCTTGGGTCCCCTTTTTATACTATTTGAAGTCTAACTAGAGTTACTTCTAAGGAGGGTCTATTTATATGTTGTTATTTCAAAATTTTGGGGACTTTTAGTTTGGCTTATATATTATAGACTATTTTTCTCTAATTTTTTTCTATTTTAGTGTTGTATCTTTTAATTTCTCTCCGTTTATATGCTTGTAACTTGATTGGATTGAGGTGGTGATCTATCCCTGATGTCCAAAGACCTCCTACTTTGCTACACCTGCTGCCAAGTACAGTTTGACAGCAGAATCCTGTTGTGTCCTTGCAACCAGACAGCCCCTCCAATTGCAAATTATGCCGGATTTCATCGGTCATCACTACCTCCTCTGCTATCCATCCTACTAATCTCCTAACCCAGCCCTCAATCTTCCCACACCATCTAGGAACCCTAATAGTCATCACTTTCCCAGCGATCCATTAACCATAACCAATCCACTATCTTTCCACAACTCTATTAGCTTCTTAACCCATTCCAATCAAAAGCACTAAATAAGAATGAAAGGAGAACGATGAGTCACAATTACAACCGCGAATAATGATGACCTCTCATCCAACATCCCTGAAGTGAAGAACGTGTTAAGGTGGGTAGCTACATTCACATCCTCCACTTAGCTCAATCATTTGGGAGAGTTGTTTAGCCATTGTGTTCCAACAATTTGGACAAGGTCGAGGGGCAGCAATGATCGTTAGAAAAAGAAAAAATCCTATTATGAGTAAGACTATATATGTAGGGTCACCTTCAAATTCAGCAGGTATGTCCCAAATCATATTAACTGATAAATTGTTGCGTTTCTGCCCCTCTTACTGGTTCAGGTTTTTGAGAGAAGTGGTTAATAGCAATGCTCAACTCTTTCCATTTCCCTAATACTTTATTTTTTTTGTATAGTAGTTTGCTTTTACTCATAAGAAAAGTTAAAAATTTTCTTTCCCATTCTATTCCATGTAAGAATAGGCATTACTATTTTGTAAGAAATTAAATTTAACAGTTATCACACATATATACTGAATTTTAGTTGAATTAGCAGATAATAGATTCAAGGACATTTAATTTTCTCCATTAAACGGCAAATGTATCTTACAATGACTAGTTATACAAACCATATCTCAAATTCTTTCATTTAACATAATAAAATGCAAAGATTTTTGAGCTTGAATAGGATTCAAATCATTGTTGTTAGAAGGGATTGATCATAAGCTGCGGAGGACATATCTGGATCCTGATAAAAACACTTAAAACAATCACCTAAAATATTAGATAAATATAAACTAATTCTCTCTGAAAAATAGGACATACTCATTCATCCAAATAAACATATAAAAAAAGATTCATAGAATAAACAATGCTACTTCATACCTTCAAGTGGCGACTTCCCAAAGCTACAGCACCACTTATCCTCCAATGTTGAGATGGATTTCCTCCCATAGACAATGCAACAAAAGGATCCGTCGTCATTAAGTTTGGTACAACAGATGAAGCAGGTTTTGTAAGCGGCTCATCCTATTCAATATTATATGCCAAATCAGAAAAACAAACTGCGTAGTTAAAATTCAATTATAAAAAATACATAAATGAGATCCAGAGAAAAAAAAACACCTAAGAGCTCCTACCACAAGCCATAAAGTTAAAAAAAAAAGCATGATAGAGAGTTTGATTAAATAAACTAAAATGCCCTTTAACTCTCCGATAAACTGACATGCACTAAATACTAAAGCCTTGTTTGGGATTAATTTTGTTTTTTATTTTTGTTTTTATTTTTTCTTTTTTTAGTATAGTTTTTTAGTGTGTGATGTCAATCTAGGGCTATTAGAAGGTGTGAAAGGAAAAAAGAAAGGGATAGGCAGGTTGCAGGAAGGGTGAGGAAAGTGACATGACTAAATTGAGCGTGAAGGGTGAAAAGACAGTAAACTGGAAGCGAAAATTATCATTTTCTGCTGTCAAACTGTAGTAAGTAGCAATTTGTATGACGAAAGAAGCCTTTGAACGTCCGGGAGAGATCAGTACGTCGATCATATCAGATTATAGACACACCAACTGAAAAAAATTCAAGATACACCGTTCCAATAGGGATTATTAGGAGAAACATCTTCAAATAGCACAACAAGAGCTAAAAAGTCCTCAAAATACAGAAAACAACAAGATATAAGTAGTCCCTCGTAGAAAATAAAAAAATAAAAATAAAAGAATAGGAAATAAATCAAAAATAGAAAAAAAATCAAGGAGAATTTGACAATGGGTTGAAGTTGTATGGTTTGGTCTCTTCTGTGATCGTGAAAATCTTCAATTCCGTGAAACCGCAGAATCACATGATCAGGATTGTGGCAATCATGCAGTCAGGATTGATCGTGGAGATCATATGAAAAGGGATTGTGAGATGCTCGCTCTCCAGTCATTCTCCCCAACTAAGGGAGGCATTTTCTTCTACTTAGTAGGCTTCTAGAATCTATCTAACATCATAACAATGTTATTGCACTGTAATGGTTGTGAGAGCACCATTACATAGTCTATGCCCACGCCAACCCAAGACAATTCTAAAACATGTACGTCTTTCCAAAGTCAATTCTTCTATAATAAATAATCATCATTCTTTAGCTGAAAATGAGCTAGAGTTGCATATAGAAGGGTATTGTCATGATCCAAGTAAAAATCTATAACATGCTTTTCACACTTCTCATACTCGGCTAGGCACATTCAATAAACAAGTCTATATGGAAGAACCAACTCTGGAATAAAATCTATGGCATGTTGATCATCTTTAAGTGACAACCACTCAAGAGGTAAAGGGTCGGTCATGATATCCGACGATTCCCTCAACAAATGTTGTCTCTTTTATGGTATTTGCTTCTCAGGCTCACTACCTTCTAATGCAATATAATTTTAATCTAGTTGGAATCTCTCCCAAGGACTCAATTTAAAACCAATTTTAATCCATTCAGAAGCAACAACCAGAAGATTAAACCTTTCTTTTAAAACATTCAATATTCTATTATAAATTTTAATAATAAAAAGAGCCACTAAAAATCACAATGTACACTAAATAAAAATTTAAATCAATAAAAAATAAACAATATAAAATACAAGTAAAATAATACTCAAATCAACACACAATAATATATCATTATAAATAAATAAATAGTATAATAACTATAACAATATCATAATACCTATCAACAGTTGTCCTCCTGTAAACTAATTAGCTCACGTCAGACATATCAATCTTTTCCGAAAGAAACAATTAAATTCAACAATAAATTTTTCACGACTTAGTGGGCATTCACAATATTATTATGTATTAAATTAATATGCAAATGTTACGCATGAATGTCACAAAGATATTCAATTTATGATAAATCAAAACTAAAAGATTTAATTTCTAATGTAACCCTTTCTATTTCACTTTAAGTACTTATTATTTTTTATCTCTTTAAGAAGTCATCTCAAGATTATTGTCATACCCGAAGATATCCTCAAAATTGTACACGTAAGTACCCTCTAAAATTTTTTTCACCCGAAAGTACATCTTTACCATTTCCACTTCTCCTTTTGTGGGCAAGTACATTGTATTCCCTGTCAAGACCATATAAGTCTAATCTTGAATGACTTAAGCATTTAATTTCATTTTCTTTAAATTACCTCCTTTTAAAAATAGTGAATAATCATGTCACTTCTCGTTTCATTCATTTCAATGATTTTTTTAACTTACAACATGGATGTAGTTATAAAAATAAATATCTGAGGCAAATATGAAAGTCTTTATTGATTAAACCAACACTTTAATACTTATAAGAAAGTAATCATTCACTTTTATCTTAAAAGACTTTATAAAAGCTTATTCCCTCACCTCACTTCCTTTGACTATCACATATATCAGTTAAAGGTGCATATATTTATAAGAATTCCATCCTAAAAAAGAAAAATTAAATATAGCTAATTTATTTAAATATTTTTCTTTCAAATACATTTTGAATAAAAAATTCTTATAAATCTTACCACTAATTCTAAAACTTGAAATATATCTAATGTTATAGTTAAAAAAGACACAAATAAATAAGTGTATAGATCCTTACCTTAAAAGGTTAGTTTTGTTTTACAGTACACAATGTTTATTTTTCCCCCTTACAATTCGATTTGATCCAAACTTTGATCTTCTTCCTTTAATTTATAATTAAGTTAAAACTATTGTTAGCATTTAGTCAATAAACATATAAATTCATTTCAATTAATTATCCTTAATAAAATCCCAAATATAAACATATAATTTCAATTCGATTAATTAACCTTAATAAATTCCTAAATACCTTGTTAAATCATTCGACTGCACGCTAGCTCTCGAATGAGAGCTCTGTCCCGTATGCTAACCCTCGACTGCTAACCCTCGACTGAGAGCTCTGTCCCGCACGCACGAGCCGGCTACCTTCTCTTCTTCTTCCTCTTCTTCGATGAGACACGAAACCGAGCATGCGCCGCCGCCTCCTCCTTTCTTCTCCTTCCTTCAGCTTGGGCACAACGTCGTCTCCTCCTTCGGCTATGCAAGCGTCGAAGCCTCTCACACACGCAAGCGGTGACTTCTTTGCTTCTCTGTCTTCTGATTTCTTCATCCTTCTTCTATCTCTCGATCTCTTTGATCTCTCACCCGCTCTCCGAGTTTCGTTGGTTCGAAAAGGGTATACAACTAATTGAAAAAAGATGCGCTTATCCTTGGTACCAATTCATTTAATATAATAATTATTACTATTATTAAAATTTCAATTATTTTAATCATTCTCTTTCTTCAACTGTTCCTTAATCAATAAAAGAAAGTTTTTTTTTGGAGTAATAAGATGCACTTTGCTCAAAATCATAGCACTCGCGCACTTGTTGGGATGGATTTATGAGTGGTAATTGATTCCACCTGTTCTCCACTCCGAACTAGTTTTTCCCTTTGTGATTGACATAGATGTTCCACTAAGTGCACAACACTTGCTGCTTGATCTTCAAATAGAACTCTGCTTATAAGGTGTGACAATTACTTTGTGATATTGTTGTTTCTCTACCTTTAAGGCTAGAGTTTAAACATCATCTAATGTTCAATAAAGACATAATTGTATCACATTGTCAATAGCCGGTTTCAATCCTCCCAGCTATCAAGTTAGAGTGTTCTCCTCAAGCTCAACTAACTTACACTTCAATATAAGTTGCTTAAACTTAGCGATATAATCCTCTACATAAAGATTCTTGTTGTTGTAGGTGATGAAGCTTCAAGAATATGAGAGGTGAAAGAGCAAAAAAAGAAATAAGTCGGTTGTAAGAAGGGTGAGGGAAGTGAGAGAAAGGATGTCAACTGAAATCAGGCGTGAATCGTGGAAGGACAGCAAACCTAAAGTGGAAATTGCAGTTTTAAGTTGTTAAAAAGCAATAGGCAGCAAGTTGGACGACGAAAAAAGCCTTCAAACGTCCGAGAGAGATCACCACACCGATTCTATCATGTTACAAATACACCATCTGAAAGGAATTCAATGATACAACACTCTAATAAAAAAATTATGAGAAACATCTCCAAATAATTTAGCAATAGCCAAAAGTCATCAAAATATAAGAAATAACAAGATATAAATGGTTCATTCAAAGAAAATAATATATTAAAAATAAAAAAAAAAGAAAAATCAAGCATAATTTGATAATGGGCTGAAATTGCGTGGTTCGCTCACTTTCACGATCACAGAAATCTTAATTTTGTGGGTTCGCAAAACAATGTCATTTGGATCGTAAAAATCATGTGATTAGGATTGATCGTGGAGATCACACAAAAGGGATCGTGAGGTGCCTGCTCCCACGCTTATGAGACATATTATTATTTCTTATATCTAAAATAAATTAATATATTTTTAAAATACTTAAAACAATGTTTAGACCTTTTAAGTGTTTTAAAAAATAAGATATTTTAATCGAATATACCAAACATATTTTTCTCAAATCCAAACCAAAATTTATATAAAAAAAAAAAGCATTTTTAGGTTATTTCTTAGTTTTCGTATGAATTAGTTCATGTAACGGAAAATTAAACTTAAATTACCGCTTGGAGCTGACTACGAGAAGGTATCAGAATAATTGTGGGGTGGCTAGTTATATCCAATGACTCCAACTTGATAGAATCTTCAAGAATTTGTCCTGTAGCAAAGAGTGAGAAGGAATAAATATTTTTTGCCTAACATGATAATTATAGTATTAGCTAACATTAGCTATCCTTGATATTAGTAGTATTAAGTAGCATTAAAAACATAGTGGACTAATTTACTCAAATTGTACCTAGCGACAGCACAATAAATTGTATATTTGAACAACAAATTTTTGAAAAAAAAAAAAACCCCCCCCCCCCTCCCCCCCGTATTTTTTTAAAGAAAAAAAAATACATAGAGAGTTTTATTCCACACAATCAAAAAATTACAAAAAAGCAGGCAATAGGTCTCAACTACACGCCACATATAACTCACACAACAAAAGAAAACTTAGAGACCTCCCCCAAAAAGAGGAAAAATACGACTTACTACCAACAAACCCAACAATCAAATACACAACAAGGCCAAATCTTCAAACACCCAACAAGAAAAAAAAAAGAATATTTATTTGATGTGATTTAAATGTACATAAATCTTATAATAAGACAAGTTTAGAGAATATTCATGATGTTTATATAGAAGGAGATGAAAATGCAATTAGAAAAGTTATACTTGACTTCATAGAGGTGAAGACAATAAAATCATGATTAATAGTAAAAATAATCAACAAAATATGAAAAAGCTATTTTGAGAAATTTATTAAATGAGTGTTAAAGAAGGACTACACTGAAGAAATATTATGAATAAAACTAAAAAGTATGTTAAAAATTCATTAAGAAAAATGGATAGAGGTAGCCCCGACGAAGATGCGTCAAACGACTTATGTTTACATCATATAACCTTACAAATTCAAGAGAAATAGAGAATATTGCGGTGATTTAGTTATCAAATATTTTCAATAAGATTTTGAATATTAAGATGACCAACAAATGGTTGGAGCTGCATTTTGATACTAATATTTAGAACAAAATAAATGTTTAAAATTATGATTAACAAAAATGAATCAAGTTTATAATTCATAAAATGGAGTAATGAATAAGAGAAATAGAGCATGGAGTTGAAAAACTTTATTAATTTCATATAACAATTGTGGTTTAATGTACAAAGATTTATATGAGGCATAATTTTTTTGGTAACATAAATAAATAAATAATGGAAAAAATACATATGGCAGACAAAAGATTGTCATATAATTCTAATTAATCATAAAAAATAAATGATCAAGTACCACTAAATCTAATTTGATGCTTATTAAGATGGAAAAAAATATGTGCCGACATTATATTGACTTTATTCAAGACAATGAACAATACGACACATTTTGAAGGAAGATGACGAATGACTGGAGCAACATTTTGATATCACAATTTAGAACAAATAGAATGGTTCAAATTGTGATACTATAAGGAATATAAGTTTATGACTCGGACCATAAATGAATGAAAAAAAATAACGCAGCATGGATTTTCAAAACTATATCAATTTCGGAGAACCAATATAGTTTAATGTCATAAAGATCTATATGAGCATATCTTTTTTAGAAAGATGAATAGATAATTAATGGAAAAGTACATAAAGAAAATAAGGGATCATCATATAGATTTAATTGATCTTAAGAAGATGTATAATTCAGTACTACATAAATTGATTTGGTGTGCATTAAAGTATAAAAAAGGAGTCGATGCTACATTGACTTTATTCAAACATGTAATAATGGAGCATAAAATATTGTTAGTTGTGAAGTGAACTAAGAATTTCAAATTATAATAAATTTATATCAAAATTCAACATTGAGTTCATACCTTTTTGTAATGGTTATGGACATATTTTTTTAAAAAAAAATATTTAAATGAGATGCCTTGATATATGTTTTTTGCATATGACATGATTCAATCAAATTGATGAAATGCCTTAGCTAAAATAAATCAAGAATTAAAACAACAGAGAAAGTATAAAAAAAGTGGGGGAAATGATTACAAGAGAGAAAATTCACTGTTAGAAGAGTAAAATTTGTAATTGTCGACGTGATCAGGCGGTGTACATTTCCTCAATTAGTAAAATCTTCTGCAACTCCGTGGATGTAGGCAATTTGCCGAACCAAGTAAATCTGTGTGTTTTTTTGGTGTGAATTTTCTCGTGCTATTTTATTTGCTTCGTCGTCGATCGTTTTTAAATTTCAAATACACCACAACAACTGGTATCAGAGCCAATGACTACAGACAAAGTGAAGATTTCAGGTGACCATAATACAATTAATAGGACTAGAAGATAAGTTGATACCAAGATATGATAGTTTTATATATCTTAGATTGAATATATAAAAGAACGAACATATAGATGAGGGTATAAATTCAAGGGCAAAAACTTTTTGTTTAAAATAAAGATGCGACTCAAGAGTATTATAAGATAAAACTATATCATTAAAATTTAAGTAAAAATTAAGTTGGCAAAGTTAGCTAGAGGAAGAGTGTTGGGCAACAAGAAATATGTTGGTATGTGAGTTAAACATGAAAAATAAGTAAAAATATTAAAATAGATGTGGAGCAAAATTACAAAGAAATCACATAACAAATCTAAAAAATGATTATATTTGAAGAACATTTGGATTGGCATCAATTGAAGAAAAGATAATTTAAAATTGACTTAGAAGTTTTGTATATGTAAAACATAGGATAGAAAATGTATTCATTAGATTAGGTAGATAAATTTAATGTCAGCGGAATGAGAAAGTAGACGGTGCAAATCCTTAGTTACATGGGAAGAATTTGTTCATAATGACTAACGGTGAATATGCTTAAAACCCCACGAAACAATTAAAAAGCCTAAAAAAGGTATTCATAAAGATGGCTTCAAATTGTTGCGGTAATGCTAATCATCATGATGGTGACAAAGAAATAGAAATGAGTTTCATTCCAAAAAATAGTATGTAATCTCAAAATAAAATAATAATATACGCATATAAAAAAATTAACATAAAACTAAAGTTGATCTAATTCTAGATGACACATGGTGCACAATTCTTATAGGATATATATATATATATATATATA